GGATGAAAAGTGGGAGAGGGAGCTGGAGGTTGGAGCTGAGGAGGGAATTGTGGAGTGTGAGGGTGGGGAGAGCCTGGGCCGGGTTGCCCAGGGAAGCTGTGGCTGCCCCATCCCTGGGGGTGTTGAAGGGCAGGTTGGATGGGGCTGGGAGCAGCCTGGGCTGCTGGGAGGTGTCCCTGCCCATGGGGGGTGGGACTGGATGGGCTTTATGTTCCCTTCCAACCCTCCCCTGCCCATGAGCTGCCAGCCTGCCTTGGAGCAGCCCCAGGGAGCAGAGCTCCAGGTTCTCCCCCCTCCCCCCAGTGCTGCTCTGGATGTGGAGCTCTCGGATGATTCTTTCCCGCCGGAAGATTTTGGCATCGTCTCTGGGATGCTCAACGTCAAGTGGGACAGGATTGCTCCGTATCCTTTCCTGCTTGGGAATCTCTCCCAAATGTCCCCCTTGCCCCTCAGCCTCCCATGGCTCCCTTGCCTCCCTCTGGCCTCCCAACATTCCCAACCTCCCGTGTTCCTTAACACGGGGCTTTCAGCGCCAGCAACGTGTCCCACACCGTGGTGCTCAGGCCTCTCAAGGCTGGATACTTCAACTTCACCTCTGCTACCATCACCTACCTGGCCCAGGAGGGTGGGCAGGTTGTGGTGAGTGGATCAATTACAGGATCCTGCCCCAAACCCCAGAGCAGAAACACCCAGAGGTGCCCTTAGAGCTGCTGTTGCACATCCCTGTGCCCTCATGGGCTCTGCTGCAGGAAGAGAAGGTGCCAAACACTCTTCTCCCCTGCTTTTAGTGGTCAGGGTGAGGCAAAAAGCAGAGGGCAGGATTGTCCTGTTACCCCCCCCAACACCACCCTCCCAAGGGAAGATAAAAGGGGATTAAGGAAGAGAGACTTGAAGGCTGGAAGTGAAAACTGGAGCAGGTTTATTGGAACAAGGAAGGGGGAGTAATGTGGGTTGAGGAGCAGATCTATGAACTTATATACACACAAAACCAATCTCAAAGAGAAGGCTCCAGGAAGAGCTTAGAGCAGCTTCCAGGGCCTTAAGGGGCTCCAGGAAAGCTGGGGAGGGACTTGGGCCAAGGGCAGGGAGGGATGGGATGAGGGGGAGGGATGAAAAGTGGGAGAGGGAGCTGGAGGTTGGAGCTGAGGAGGGAATTGTGGAGTGTGAGGGTGGGGAGAGCCTGGGCCAGGTTGCCCAGGGAAGCTGTGGCTGCCCCATCCCTGGGGGTGTTGAAGGGCAGGTTGGATGGGGCTTGGAGCAGCCTGGGCTG